CTTTTTAAGTGACAGATTTTATTTCTTACTATCAATAAACACCTACCAGATAAAACATCTTTCTTGGTTTTCGTGTTTGTACCTGTAGCTTCCTCACATAAACCCTACTCTCAGCTGGAAAAGCTTTGCTTTCTGTGGTGCTGGCAATGAGGATTAAGCCAGAACAGGAGCAGTATGCTTTCCCTTGGTGACTCCCCCTGCTGGGAGCAGCTATGTTGGAGGGCAAGGTTGCCACCGCATTAACTGAAAGGACCTCCTGACCTTTATGCTGTCTGGAACTTATTGACACTTTTTTGTTTTTTGAGCAACTTGTAAATTTTTGCAAACAGCTTATAGATGTAAAAGGCAAATTAATTTAATCAGTTATTCGCTCTGTATTATTTGCTCAGGAGTAGCATGTTTGGAGAGCAGCCTGATGTTTGCCCCGTGATTGCTCCCAACTCTCTTGTCCACACTTTCTAGCCTTTTTCCTGGGGCAGCTGACACAACATGTGATTAGACCACGAATCCACTGGGTAGCAATAGCTTCCATAGCTGCTGGAGGCAAGAGAAAATCACCTGGAAATTTCCTGATAGATAGCACAGAAATAACAGTGACTTGGTGATTCATGTCTTCAAACATAGGGAAATGTAGAAAACCGGCACAGGGCCTCAAGAAATGTTGAGAATTCCTGCTTAAGAAGCAGTTCAAAAAAACAATAAGGTTGCCTGATAACCATCTCGATACATCATCATGAACAGACCTCCACGTCCATAAAATAAATTTAAGACAGACAAAATATTAATGAAAGCTGCATTTCAAATGCTTCATCCAGTCCCTTACATCTCACTCTTTATCTGAGCCATCTGAATTTTCACAGGAATCCTTTTACTCTCCTTTTTCTTTCTAATTACCCACTCTATCTTTTCCCTTCCTACTTCTCAGCCCAACCAGCTCCTTCCATGTAGACACCTCATAGACCCTTTCCCTCCCAGCCACCTGTCCACAGGTTTCCAGCGAGGGTCTTCTCCCCTTTGTGCTGTGACACCACAGTCCTTCCCCTGCAGTTCCATCATCTCTCCTGAAAATCTGAGGACATGATGCCTTTTCTTTTAAAAAAAAAAAAAAAAAAAAAAAAAAAAAAAAAAAAAAAAAAAAAAAAAAAAAAAAAAAAAAAAAAAAAAAAAAAAAAAAAAAAACAACAACCAGCTGACTGTCTAATGCTGCTTGGGAGGGAGGAAGAAGTAAGGTGAGTAGGCAGAAGTATTCTTCAAAGCAATATAACTATTTAATGAAGAAAAACCAGGTTCATGTAGCACCAGTGGCTGGGAGGATGATCTGCCAGTTGTTCATTCATCCCTGTGGTGTGCACATCTGCTGGCCACATTTTGTCCCTTTCAGAACAGAAGCATCCCCAGTCACCGTGGTCCACCTCTTCACCCTCCTGTTATTAAACTAACAAGCAACTGCAGGATGTTTTCTCTTGGTGAGAAAGCAAAGTCAGATGAATTAGCAACAGATGAGAAGAACAAAGAGGGGACCGTGGTTCCATGGAGTCAATCAGTTTAGCAAAATTAGCCGGCAGAGAGTGGCAAACCCCTTTGTTTTACCTGAGCATTGGGTGAGCATTTGCCCCATCATCATATGTTAGGATATTTGGGAGGAATTTGGTATTAGATGACCTGGGCTTTGGACAGCTGAACTGTGAAGAACAGTTCAGAGAGCTGCAGGACACTTCCATGGCAGACAACAGGCTTTTACAGGAACTGGGCTCTTTTAAGTTACTGAGAGCATCACTCTGCCTTGCTTTCATGTTTCCCAGTTTATGATGCTAGATCCAATGAGACGTGCAATGCATATATGTCTCAAGAGGGAGCACCTTAATGTTAATGTTCATACAGTATCGTAAATATATGCCCTTATTATCGATGAGATGAGATTCTCCTAGGGATGTGTAGAGGGACCAACAGTTTTATATATTGTGTGAAGAGAGAAGGAGAAAGAATTAAGGAGAAAACTCACAGCAAGCTAAATTTTTGCACATGACATTCAACTAAAAAAGAATATTACCCTGTAAGAAGCTGCTGGGAGACAGAAACCAATTGGGAAATTCAGCAATGCTGTGGCAGATGAAATTTAACTCAGATCAAGGTAAGGTAAACTTGTTATCCATACTGATGAGCCAGACTCATGGGATCATCTGAGGCCAGTGACTTGGAAGATACCATCACAAACTGCTCAATAAAAAGGCTTGCCTGATGCAGAGCAGCAGATACAAGGACACAGTGGAGAGACCTTTATAAAACAGTGAAGCTGAAAAAATTCCTCCTAGTTAACACTATTCGGTAAACAGTACCAGCATGTGGAGTGAAACTCAGCTTTAGTTGCTTCCTTGCAAAAAAAGTGGTTGCCTAAGCAGCAGCACTATCAAGACCTGATTTTCTAGGAAATATTTTTTACAGATTCTCTGATGAATAAGAACAAGTTTGCACTGCATCCTTTCCCATGGGGAAGACACAGGAGAGATCTTCCTCTACCCAGCTGCCTATTTGCATGAAAGATACTGAAGAATCAATACCTTTGGGACATCTAACATTCCGTTATATGTTGTTAAAATGTAGACAACAGGTTCAAATACTATTGAAGGGGCACATAGGTAGATAGGCTCCTGCTCAAATGGCACTGTGAAAGCCTCCCTTTCTGAAAAATGGCAAGCTGGAAAAGGAAGAAGGAGGTGCCCCAGAAGCAAAGGTGGGAAGGATACAGCAGAACTGGCACAGAGTGGTAGTGGCCCCAGGTTAAGCATAAGACATGGAGTATTTCCAAGCAGAACAGACAAGTAGCTAGCAGAAACTTAGCAAAAATTAAGCTCTTCTGATGTACCTTTTCCTAATCTGGGAGCAGTAAATGAACACCTGAAGAGTGACAGACAATTTCTCCTCCTATACAGTGACATAGGAGAAGCTTCCTAACTCCCTCCCAGATGGGAGCCTGCCTACATGGAAAAGATTTGGGACCAATCTGCATGTGGAGACTAACTGAAGGAGAGCAAGTAACGTCAACCAACCTGCTATTGTTAAACTAATAGTGTGAGCTACCATTTGCAAATCTCTTTTTCACTGGAGATTGTATATCCCTGGTGTGCTTCTCAAAGCTCCTTGAACTTACCCTCTGGCACCCATAGGTATCCGCCACCTTTCAGGGTGAGAGACACATGGAGTGGAAGGCTGTGGTTCCTGAAGCACTCCCTGATCTGCAGCCCTGGGCAGGAACCACCCAGGTGACAATGGATCAGCAGTTTAGTTCCCTGCCTAAAGCAAAACATCTCTAACTAAAACAAAAATGTTTTGAAGAAAAACATAACTTAAAAACATTAAAAAGCTGGTGTAAATAACATTTACAAGGTATATTATTCCTGACCACTGAGAAGTCACTTTTCTCTCCTGTTCTGTTAATGTCTTCTTTAGACAGCTTTGGTCAAGCACACTTCCACTCTTCCATCCCTCTTCTTGTAGGGCTTATCTTTCTATTTTCCCTCACTTGCCAGTTCATAATCTGATGAAACATGCTTGCAATTTCTTTGGGGACAGGCATCTATACCTGATGATGTTGCCAATTGCTTTCAACCTGGGAGCTGTTGCATCGCTTCTTTGTTTGTTCTCCCTCCAGCTCCAATAGAAGCTTAATCAATAACCTCCTGCCCTGGTCTTGTCAGCCCCTAAAGCCATTGCATCACCATATTCATACAGTTATTACAGATCAGCTCCATTTCCACCACACTGTGGCTCTGCCTCATTGCTCACTGTGATGAGCTGCCACTGTAAGTAACAGCAGAGCCATTACTGCGTAAGACAGGAGCACAGGAATATAAAATGCTATTGATTTCTTTCTCTCTCTACTGCAAAA